TGAAAAGGTAAAACTTATAAAGCAAGTCTTAAAAGACCGGAGAGGTTAAGCTTTTCTAATATTAGGGGAAGTTCCAAAGTTTATTAATTATCAGTGAAATATAAAAGCTAAAGGTCTACAGAGTTAGAATTTTAAACAATATAACAACGGTTTAAGAAATAATCCACTCACATTAATAAACATACTACTGACGTCATGTAAGAAGGATATCCATATTACACTATACTACATTTTCTTTACTTACTTAAAAATCTTGGTCTGTCTGGTGTACGTAACTATGATTCCAACAAAGCTATTTCAAATAAGGTTTTCAGGTTATCATACAACTGAAAGTGTCAAAACTGTTTATTTTAAGTATCTTTATACGTATGTCGCTGATTTTGAATTTTAACTGTAATTTCAGTATCGTCAGCTCTTCGACTAAGAATACAAAATACAGCCGATAAAGATGTCAGTCCATAATATTTCGGGCGCCACAGAGATTGTAAAGATTACAAAACCTTACCCTTTTAAAACTATTAAAAATATTCTTTCGCGTGAAAGTTGAATTTTAAAGTTATGTCTATGATAACTGTGCGTTGTTCGTTTTCGTAATTTTAAATTTAAAAGTTTGCGTTATAAATTATAATTGTGTTTTCTTTTTCAGGAAAATCGACGCCATCATGCCGCATACAGGTATTTATAAACTTTTTACGATTTTAGTTTAGTGCTATAAAATGAATGACGTAAGATTTTCGTATGTTATTTTATTGTTTGGCCTAACGATATACCAAGGCTTAAGCTTTAAGCTATGTTTATTAGCCGAAAGCTATAAATTGTAAGTGTATTATATCAATATATGAGACAAAAGTTAGCATAACTTTATATATTACTTATAACTTATTTATAAAGATATTGTTTTAATTTTCGACATACATAGTCGTACGCAAAATTTAAAATAATATTTGGTAGAAATAAACACATATTGACGGGAACGTTAGTTTTGATTGGTAGCAATGTATGGCTAATAACACTGTATATCTAGTACACTAAATAAAACACTTTAACGGTTAAAACGCAATATATCAGTTATAATTTGGCAATGTTTTACTTCGTGGTCAGCCGTCAGCGTGGCCGCTGCAAAGCATCCAACCTCGGGCCAAGTTAAAAATCATTTTCAAATAAGTTTAACTACAATATCGCGTTTTAAACCGTTAAAGTTTTTTATTAAATGGCTAATAAATCAAAACAGTTCGTGTATTCGATCCCCACTATTCAACAAGTTTGTAATAAAATAATATTTTTTCTGAAACATGTTCGTCTGGAAATTTGGTTATTAAATGGGTGATATCCTTGAAGTTCAATCGCTTTTCGTTTCAGTCTGTGGATTTCCGAATATCCAAAGCCAAAATTGGGTTACAGTGCATCTTGTTTGGATGTTATATGGTACACGTCTACCTATAGCTTATCTACAGGTTTTATTCTCAACGTACGTAACAAGCATAACTAATTCCTGCCTAGCCTACCTAGCTTACTACCTGTATCACAACTTTATCTGACATTTTGCAATAAATAACAGATAAACACACAGAGAATAAATGGGCGATCTTAATAACTCTAATCTTGCTGAACGGGACATTACGATCAATCGTCGAAACGATGAATTTAATTCAAAAAACGGACATAAATTGCGCGCCGCCCACACGATCGGCGAATTTTAAACAAAGTCTTAATTAACTACCATTTACAACGACATTTAAGTAACGCGCATGGCACAACATAATATGGTATCAGATCTACCCCTTTAACGTTACCCTTTCACCTCACACAATGTTTCTAAGTTGATAATAAGTATTTCATGTGAACAATACAAGATGTAGTAAGCGGTTTAGTTCTTATAAAACTTTTATTGTTATTTTTTACGATAGATATAGATTTAGATTAAAAATCGATTATACTTCAATAACTTTACGCCACGGGCAGGAAATGAACCGGTATTTACAGCGTTCCGTACTGTTGCTCCATTTTTTCAATTTATAATAGATTTTAATTTATATAGTGCTATCATGTGCAAATAACATATGAAAAATATTCAAATTTTCATAGATTTAGATTTATTAAAATAAGGCACGGTTCGGTTAAGAAAGCGATACTAGTTTAGTCTGGGCTCCTAAGATTAGCTTAACCGTCGCACCCTTTATTCTTGAGCCATGCCCGCCTCAGTGGTTATCACCTCAATGCAGAATTTACCTCACGCATTGAAATCATAAGCGTTTCAAAGAAGCCTTATCTCGCGGCTCCATTACGGGTAATTAAGGGAATCGACTCGAATCTCGTATCGAGATAATATCGGGATGGCATCGGCCCACCCGCCCAAAAACGACCACTCTTTCTAATTCATTATACATGCTTAGTTAGCCACGTTAGGCCGCGTACAGACTAATTTTTATTTATTTATTTACGCTTTATTGCACAAAAAATCCAACGAGACTTCGAGAAAATCAAACCAAGATGAAAGAAGAAAAAGTTTACGGGAAAACGAGATGTCCAAGGTGGGCGAAAAAAAAAATAGAATCATATCTTTATTTTTTTTTACCTAAATGTCGATAATTGTCTAAATCGGTAGGCGAATAGAATGTGCTGTAAGCCCATTTTTTATTTGGATATTTAAAAAACGAATTTTTTGACTGTGTATATATGTCTGTGATTTAAAAATCAAAAATAAATTGAAAAAATTTTCGACTCGGCCAGGACCTGAACCGGCGTTGTCAGCGGTCCATGGTAGGACAACAGGCCCTATCAATTGAGCTACCGAGTCCACGGACGCTAAAGATGCCGGTTTAAGTCCTGCCCGAGTCGAAATTTTTTTCAATTTATTTTTGTGTTTCAAGCTTGTAAACTTAAAATATACTTATCTAGTATTAATATTCAATTTAAAAATTATTAGTTTAACTTTTATCTGTATAAGCCTTTATTTTATAATTGCGTAATTCCAAACTTTGCTACTGTTTTTTTCGTAGTCCAAAAGAAAACTAGATGGTCTGCAGAACGTCAAATATTGCCTAATAAAATATGAGATTTATCGTAATATCTAAGCCATTAGCATGATAATATCAGAAGGAATTAGATTTCTTTGATACATTTCCGAAAAGAAGTGGATCACCCACGACGTTTCCGCTTCTAATAATTATTATTGAATTATTAAAAAAATATTCTACCAGGTGTTATAAGGTTTAGAATTACATAGGCGTCAAGTAGGTTCAAATCTCGTCGCTACGTCTCAACATTTTCTATTAAATATGTTTTTCCAATTAATACTGACTTTAGCATGCGTTCCTTAGGATTTAAACCAGGAGATCTCCTTATTGCATTTTATTTATACCTATAACAATTGAACACTTTTTTAACATAAAAAATTCGATGGGCTCGTTGGACTAATGGTAACAATGTAAAGATCAACGGGTCGTTGGTTCGATCGCCACCGGGTTCAACTTGATTAAAATTTTTCAATTTATAATTTTTCCAAAACGTGTCGGACTTCGTTTGGAAATCTGGATATTAAATGGGTGGTAGGAACTAGGAATATAGAAATTCCGTTCGGGTGACGAAACACGAAGCTTAATGGCGTCGGTTTCAGTCTGTGGATTTCTGAATATCAAAAGCCAAAATGAATCAACGGCAAATCTAGTTTAGATGCTATAAGGCCGGGTCACTCACCATCTAAGCCCCATCTTGTGTCTCTTAAGCGTGTCAAATATGGTCGAAAGACGAAAGAGTTGTCGCCCTATTTAACACGTTTCTATAAAAAATCCAGTACACTTGTCAAGTGACGTGACACATAGTTTTAACGCTCAATTGAACCGTAGGCCGGTTCAAACACTTATGTAACGTAGAAATTACTATCTTGTAATCGGTATGGTGAACAGATAAGTACTGCCTGTTAATAATATGATACAGGCATACAACTATGTCTTATGTATAACTTTATAAAGTAAAAATTATTATTAATAAAACAAAAAACTATAGAATGAAAATATTTGGACGTACAACTTTGTCCAAAATATACCAAATTGTAATTATTTTTAAATAGCAAAAAAAAATTGACGACACGGGTGGGACTTGAACTGGCATCTATAAGATTCAATGTCTTAAGCATTTCAGCTGACGAAATCATCTAAGATGTACCTACTTACAGAGTTTAATGTTTGAAAACTAAAAAAAAAAAACATGCTAAATACATCTTTATTTGTTTAACTTGTGTAAATAATTTAACGTTTCAAATATCTTATCTTAATCTTATGAAGTTAAAAATAAAATACGAAGAAATCGTAAAATACGAACGAACATTGAACATTGATAACTTAAATTTTTGTAATTGTACATTTTCAAAATCGCATACCCATTCATAAAAATGGCGATTATCATCACATATTAATCCACGCTTTGCAGTCAACCGACGGTACATCAAAGGGTTTTCAAATTCGATTTTCTACTCGGCCGTTTATAGCTCTGTTACAATTTTATATCGTAAACTTTTTATTGTCAATTAAATATGAGATCTGTGGTCGCTCCACGGATTAGGCAATGGCGCGAAATGATTTGGATCGAGATTATACAGATTATATTCCTGTAGTACAGATAAGAAACTAGTATTTTACCGGACTTGTCACATCCGCGATAGATGCGAGAATTTTAACGCGTTGTTTTTGAATTTTTATTTTTATTATGACTATTTATATGTATTTACAATTTAATTCGTGATTTGTATATATTAAGAAGTTTATAGTATATTTTTATATTTATCTGTTTGGCCATTGTTATAGAGAAAAACAGTTTTTAAAATGGACGCGAAAACTTTTAATAAATTAACTAACTTAAAAAAAATATTTATATAAAAAAGCGCTTACCGGTCTACGCACTATAAAAAATTTAAGCACAATATTTGTTTAAGGGCATAAGTTTAGTTTTTCTATAGGAAACCACCCCTTTTCACACGTGTCAGTTATTTAATCTTCAACCCCCTAAGAGATGGCGCTATACTCGTTCTTAATCGCGCTATGACAGTAGCCTTGTGGATGAATAAGTAGCTTTGAAGGGTTGGTGCAATCATACTTACCTGGCGTAGGGGATACCGTGATCATGAAGGCGGTTCCCCCAGAGCGAGACTCCTCCATTGCACTGCGGTTGAGTTGACCTCTGCGATTATCCCTAATGTGGATAACTCGGACGCGTAATTTTTGGTAGTGGGGACTGCGTACGCGCCGTCCCCTTTATAATAATGATCTAGTAATTAAACTCACAGTGCATGGATAACATAACTCACATTTTGTGTCCTTAATCAATTATTATAAATCAAGACAAAACAACTTATCCTTAAATAAAGACTTCTCTTGGCCTAAATTGTTTATTTTATTTTCCCGGGATTCAAACGCATTGCGTGTCTATTTATTGTGGTCTTAAAATAATCAAGTAATATATAGAACAAAAACAGCGCATTTTATTATATCACTATCAATTTCAAAAAATAAAGGAAGTTATTCCAAAAAGGTTATCTTATAATACTATTTTGTCCATTTTTACCATTTTCGTTTTGTTATAAGATAAGGGCACCACATTTGCTCCACTTTCCTGACGGCTGGTGGCATTTTGTTCAGAGGCAGTTCACTAGGATCTAAGACCTTATATGCTTTAGGTTTAGAAAACTTCATATCAACGTAATCCACACCATGTTGAATCCATGTTGTTATAAATCCGGTTCCTAAAAACATTATATAATTATAAATGTGTACCAACTCGCTTAATGCTATTAGTTTTTTCAGTAAGCACGCTGAAACAAACGCTAACTTTATAGTGAGTTAACTACAGTAGCTCGCACATTACATATACTATACATTAATTTCTGACTGTTTATAAAGTTTCCCCGTGACCACGCATGCTAAAAGTGGGGTCATCGGTATAAAATAAATAAGTTATATTGTTTGTAATTTAAACATTACCGTTAAGTTTTATTTCCGTATATTCCGTTATATATGTTTTATGTTAGCTAACTTATTTTTAATTACGATCCAACTTTTCAGGTACATTGCAGCAGTTATGGTAACTAGTTTATTTCGCATATTAAGCCGTTTAAAATGTTTTATTCAAAATTTTGGTACTACTCTCGCAAAATACAGACAAACAAACTTACTATCATAATTATCTATAATGTCCGGTCTTAGTGTTCCGACGGTATAAAACCTAAGCTTTTTCACAGCTTCTTCGTATTCTTCACATCGACAACGGTCCATTCTCTATAAAAAACACCATTTTTTTCCAAAAGATTCCATTATTTTTTAAAGACGTATGTCATTTTTCTATCCGGCTTATTGTTGTCGATATTTAAACGAAAGAGAGAAAAAATATTTCCATAGATTATAAACTCCACAGACAGAGTTGTTATTCACATTTCTTTTTTTTTCTGAAAGTATTCAAAAAGAGAAAATTTTAAATTGTATTATTAGCTTTTTTGACCTGGTCGGAACCAGTTTTGAATGGAAAAACTTATATAAAAGCAATAATATATATATAATTGACCCTAGAGAAAAAAAAACCATAGCAAAACGTACTACCTACCTTAAAAAAACTACAATATTAAGACGAGATCGTACAAAAAAGCGCTCCCGTGTTAACCGGCCGACATAAAATCAGTCACAAACCATAAACTTGACCATAACTTGCAATATATACGAGCTATATTCGCTGAGAAAAAGTTTAAATAACTTTTTACGATCGAACTGTAAAACGGGGATCCCAGTTTATAAGGCTTCTCGTAAGTTATAACATAAAGTGCGGATTGTGTTTTGTTTTTCAATAACGTAATAGTTGCGATTTGTAGCATGTGTTTACGATATAATGTACAACAGTTTAAAGAAATATCTTTGAACAACATAATACCTTTAGATTATAATTGTAATTGCCTTTCAAATTCATACAATATCAACATCTTTACATACAGACACAAACCTATACACAAGACTCTAGATCGAAACATGAGTTATCAAACAACATGAATTATTGTAAAAATGATTATTATCTTATTAAATACTGTTTATAGTTTACACGAGTAGTGAAAATTATTCAGTCGCCCCGGGACCACGACTGCCGCAAAGCATTCGAAACGTCGGACCGTAGTGAAAATAATTTTCAAATAACTAATATATATCGCGTTTAAAACCGTTGAAGTGTATTATTTAAATATTATCTTATTTTACATTTTGCTCGTCTCAAACGACGCAAAATCAATTATTTTTAATTCGCCTCAAACTATTCGCGTATAAACGCAACCATCTAGATTTAACTGCTACCGTTAATTCCATTGTAAAAGTCGTAAAACAATCGCCGGTACACGCAATTTATGATCTTAATCCCATAAAATTAACGTTCTAATTTGTTCTTAGCAATTTAGTGTTTATGATCTTTTAAGGCGATAACCACATGGAGTTATGTTGTGTAATTTTTAACACGATGTTTAAAGCGACGCTTCACAATATCTAAGGAGATGTACAATGTTCGCGTTATCTTTCTATATCTTGAATTTATTAAGTAAGCCACTAAAAGAGCGTCTCCCTAGCACTTTACTTTGGCTTCTTAAAACATCAAATAACAAATTTACGGGTTAGAGTTACAGTGACTTATGTAAAGAGGGGATCTGCCCTCCCCAAAGTAAAAGATAAAACTAATTTATGTAAGTTTAATATTGTCTGTATTTTACACGAGCAGTACACATTTAAATAATACTTTCAACGGTTTAATTCGAAATATATTGGTTAATTAATCCTTTATTTACTTATTTTAACTAAGGCTCAAAGTTTCGGATTCACAGCAGCCGTGGTTACGAGGGTTTGTAAGTTGTTCAATAACTTACTAGCGTTAAACATTACTACTATTACCCATATTACCTAAAATTGGTTCCTGAAATTATTATACGTTACTGATTAAATGACTACTCACCTTTTCAAGTCGGTAAAAGTGATTGCACGCCGCAATGTGCGAATGCCTTTAGCGGTTGCGGTATTTCACGGCTATCCGATACAAAACCGCTTCGAAGTGAAGTCGCAAATTACTTCGCGTTTTACGATCCACAGCGAACTCAGGAGCCGTTCCACTAAATGATATAAAAGATAGACTTTAATTAGCTTTTATCCTCGCTAGATGGCGATACGAATGTATTCGGACGTAGGAACGTATTTATGGCACAATTTATTTCGCAATCGTCGCCTCATTAATTTCCTCCTATTAGACACATGTCTCCCCCTCGTATTGGAGAGGGGAGCTAAGAAATTCACCACGCTTGTCCAAAGTTGGGGGTCATTAATGACTATCGCTTTTAAATTATAGGTAATAGGTTAAACTAAAACTAAAAATAATTTAAAAAATATACCGTAATATAATGTTGGCCGGGCTTCGAACCAAGGGCACGTGATTGCTATCAAGTTCACTAAGCACTAGACTTGGCAGTTGTATAATGAAATCAGTTTTATAAACAATTGTAGTAATTGACTCACATACTAAACAATATTACAATATTTATCCATTTTTTTATATTCCAATGAAAACACCAAAATAAAGATTAAAAAAAAGTTAGACGATTTTTTATTTATTTAAAGGCTTCGTTACTCATTTGTTGCTCGTAAGTAATCATTGTGATTAAAACTTTATTATCTCGGTGTTTTCATTTTACAAGTATATCAAACTCTTCATTCAATCAAGTAACAACTATTATCTGTAGCAAGCACAGATAACAATCAACCACAGATAAAGAAGAACAAACCTACACCTTCATTAACGAGACAATGACATAAGAAAACAAAAGGCAACAATGAATTATTTCGTTCAACGGCCTAAACTCACCTGTCTCATTTGCCTTAATATTTATTTGATTGCCAAATTTCCTATTCCCTACCTGAATGGCCAATTGCTTCAAATTCAGGGGTCCGTAGGCAACGAAGGGAACCTTTTGTAATTTTGCGATTTCGTCTTCGACTTTAGAAATAGGATGTTACTTAATTATATTGGTTTTATTATGATTTCCAATCATAATCAATCGTTCAAATATGTCGTCTAGCATTGTAAGTTAAGCGCAAGGGTTCAGGGTTTGAATCCCAGTGTACAAAAGTCGACATAAATCGAATTTCAGTGTCTAGTCATGGAATTGTCTTATAAACAAGTAGTTACTCTGATGTAAAATACTTAACGGCTTCAAAACGCGCCGACGTGTAACTAAGTTTCCCTAACATATCGCCTTTACACTTAAAGTTTTATATAAATGGCTCTCGCGTGAACTATGACAGTTTCAAGTAATTACTTATCAGTGAAATGCCAATTAGCCCCAGGCCCCATAAACAAAACATGTATGATTCATAAAAGACAATTAGAAATATGCTTCAAATGAAAACATATGTATGTAATTTTTTATTAGATATCTAATATATACCTTTGTGATTCATATTATTGATTATAAAAAGATTGAACCATTTTAAAGACAGTATAATATACTACTATATATTCAAAATTACAAGAAAGCTCTTTTTTTTAGAGCTCTTGCTTGATTTTAAGTTTACGGCCAAGGTTTTAAGGCAAATTAGACTTTAACCCAACTTTTTGTTTAATTAAATAATTTTTAAAAGTAAAAAAGTTACAATTGCTACATTGTTACTCAAATTTTCGATTGAAATTTCGCTCCTGGCCATTCGCACGATCTTGATAAGACCCGTTGTCAGGACATAAATAAAATGTTATTTGATGTCTTCATAAAGTGAGCTCGTTCATATTGGATTCTTTTAAATTGGTTATTTTTGTATATTCTTTATAAGAAAGAAGTGATTAGTGTTCTAAGTTCACTCGAAAAGGTTAACATTTTTAAAGTAACGTTAGCTTTCTACTAGGTGTGTATGAATATGTTTGTTGGATTCTAACGTCGAAACTATTGAACAGATTCAAATGAAACCTAATAAATATAAATGTTAAATTATACACATTGTATAGCCAAGTTGCTGTATACCAACTATGTATTTTTTTATAAAGAGGAGGACAGGCAGGCAAAGGCAAGGGGTTTGATAGTAGATGAAATATACCAGCCATATAACATCTAAACACGGCGCCGTTGACCTATTTCGCCTTTGGAGATTAGGAATTCAGTCTTTTCAAGTCAATATTTAAGTAAAATTTATGCTTTTACCAGGCCAAGCCGGTGTGAACCAACTCGGTGGGGTCTTTGTGAACGGCAGACCTCTCCCTGACATGGTGCGGAAGAGAATCGTGGAACTGGCGATTCTTGGAGTCAGACCTTGTGACATTAGCAGACAACTGCTGGTCTCCCATGGCTGCGTGTCCAAGATTCTAACACGGTTTTACGAGACAGGATCTATTAGACCTGGATCTATTGGTGGAAGTAAGACTAAGGTATGTATTCAAACTTATATTTTTATTATTTATTAGTTTATATACGTATGGGAATATAATTTTCGTGGCTCAATAAAACGCCTCAATTTCCGGGCAGATTCATGAAATATCTTTCAGTGAGCCGTTAGATCGAACTAATTGAATTTTAATCCAGTTTATTAAGATACAGTTTTTTTTTTCATTCTTGCAGTAAAAGTTTATTCTATTATTTGTATTGTAATAACTACTATACTTTTATATTAAGAAATAATTTCATGAAAAATTAAATTTATTTAAAATATTGTATATGGATTTATATAAGAATATAATAGAAGAAAATTGGAAAAAAGAATATAATAGAAAGAAATAAAATGGTGCGTCAAAACTGAACTGAAACTTATAATTATGTACTTATACACAACTGTGCATGAGCAAAAAATATAATTCTTTCAAATAAAGAAGTCTAAACGTTATTTTTAGTCTTATTTACTTTTAGACCAGTTTTTTTTTATATTAATTCCTCAAATAAGTACCTTTGACATTTACTTTTATAAGTACTATGTATTTGGAAAACCTAACAACTTAAATAATCTAGTAATAAAGCTAAGGGAAGTTTTCACTTATATATTTTAAACATATATGTATAAGTAACACGTACCGAATGTACAGCTGTATACCTTTGCGACAATGGCAAGGTAATAACATTGTTTCCCTGAAAAAAACGAAAATAAACACATCCGTTGTGGTGTAATAAACGTGGCGGGGTCACGGCGGCAATCAGTGGTAATTATAAACTATAAAATCACTCCACTTTCGGCTTCTTCAGGTGAGCTTTAGTTACGGTTCTTTAATTTGCTACACATGGGTTCCGTACAAAATATTATTTCTTATTAACTTTCCGTGTATTCCTAAAATAATTTTTTATTAACGAAAACTAATCCTTAATGTAGTACTAAGACCAATACTAAGTTTGTAGTTCACACGGGTATTGCATTTAAATTAACACATTAACGATGCAACGCTGCTTCTTTGTAGCCTTGGGGGGGGGGGGGCACGGGGAATATTTCGCCTTTAAAAGCGTTTAAAATGTTTTATTTATATGTGTAAACTACAATGCTTACAATTTACTACGATTTTTTTTAATTAAATAAAATTTTCTTTATTAATCGACAATGTAAGGAAAATATAATTTTTACTTCGAATTTATGACACAAACACTTTCCTTATATTGTCTGCATAGTTGTTGTTTCTAACAAGTACTCTAAATTCAAAGCGCCGCTCACAAGACCCGTTACAAACTTTTGTCTTCAGTAAATCTGTAAGCTCGTTTATTTCACTACGGACCCCAAAAAGCCCAAGAAAAGTGAGCAGACCTTACCAAATTCGGTACACCAATAAAGCATCGATTTTGTATCCACAAACGAATGCCGCCGCCAAAAAATTGATTATAACAAAATGTACCGAATCACCCAAATTCATTTATTGCTTATGGAAATGTTTAATTGACTAGCAATCAGTGCGCACGGGAATCGAACTCAGCTCATCAGTGAAAATATTGATGTAGCGAAATGATGTGATTCGTTTTATGGTGCGCCTTTATTAATATTACTCCTACGCATCGTTTGAATACATATTTTGACTATTTAAGATATGCTTACTAATTTAAGTATTAATAAAAGTTAATGAAGGAAAAAAAAATTTTTTTAAACACTATTTTATTTTATTTTTTGCCGTTTTAAGACATTGAAGTATAATCTAACGTCAATTAAATCTATTTCTCACTTATTAATTAATATTATTATGACGTATCGTTAGTCAATATATTTGAAAAATATGTAATTTTCCAATTATTTAATATTACTAAGTAGGAACCAAGTCTTGCCAATACCTTGAATCCCAAAAATTCTTATTTAAGCGGTATATATAGTTTATGCGAGTAAACATTTAAATAAAACCATATTAACGGTTTAAAATGCGATATCATTAAACTTATTCAAAAAAGTTAAAAGATTAAAATGCTTTGCAGCGACCATAGTCACGGGGTAAGTACCGTTTCGTGGATAAAAATCAATTAACAAAGATTCTATACGTTTGAATCCGTAAAGAGCTTTTTATTCTTACAGGCCCCTAGTAAAACGTTATTTTGCTATTAAAGAAATATTTTGACGTTCTGTTTACACAGATTCAAAACTGTAAACAAAACGACTTGTATTCTAAATTAAATAAGCGTGTTTTATTTCGTCCAAATCAAATTGCGAGTGTGGGAAAACACGCAACTGGACGCCGTAACTAACATTTTACTATACCGGTGCATAGCTAAAGTTTACTTTGAGAACCATTACGTATTTTACGGGAAAACAATGATTTCATGAGAAACTAAATTGTCGTCATGGTATTTCGTGTGATTGGTACTCTGCAAAACCCTGGGAGGGCGTTAATTTTTGAGTTTGTTAGAATGCAAGTAGAAAAAACACCGTCCCGTGCTGTAATAATTAATATGTGTGTGACATATGACAACTAAATTTAATGCGCCGTCGACCTATTTCGGTGTTGAACATTTGAAACAGAATGAAATTTTCTCATCTGGTTAGTGACACGGTCTGAACTTCGATAATCCATACATTTAATATTCATATTTGCTAAATGATTGCCATGATTCAGAAAAGTTCAATCATTGATTAAACTTTTCTGAGTTTGAATCGTACTCACAACCCATTGCTTATTATAGCACTGTAGCAATGTATACTAACAACGACCAAAGCCTTAAGCAAAGTTAAAATAGTCTGTTCGCGAGTATTACAAATTAAAATAAAATGTTAACGGTTTAAAACGCGATATATATTATTCCGTCTCTCCAAGCGTCGGGCTATAGTAAAAATAATTTTCAAATAAGTAATATATCACGTTTTAAACCATCAGAGGGTTTTATTTAAATTCTTCAACAACCGTTCTATTCTACAACAACCGTTGTTTGGCGTGTATTTTATTCTTCTCATCAAGTACAATTACAACGTAATGGCTCGTAGAGTGTTTCGTAGGCCAGCGGTTAATCGCAAAGGCCCTAACCTCAAAACTATTCGAATACGACACGCATTATCGATTATCCGTGATCGACAGAAGCGTTCAATCGATAGCTTCCATTCGAATTAAGAGTGAACTTGGCATTCCCAGTGTGTCTCACATGAGTTAACGAAGAACCTATTACAGAATCGATTATAATCTCGATTTATGTTCCCGAGTTTTATTCTCGATCGATTCGGTGAAATCGATTAATCGAGCGTTTATTATTAGGTTACATTTTTTACGGTTGCTATTCAACAATTAGCGGTAAGGTTATAGTGGGATGCTTTAAAATGACGTGAAGCAATAATGGTCTGCAGCTATAATACTCGTATGAACGATAACGATAGGTATAGAGATCTCGAGAGAATTAAATATCGATTGAAATTAAAAAAAAATATATATAATCGATTTTTAATTTATATAGTGCCATCATGTGAAAAAATATTAAAGTTTTCAAATCTCTAAAGAAGGAAATTTGCAAAATAATAAAACAAAGGGACGTGCGGCAGACGTATATGTATTCTGAATTTATTTTTATAAACGATTTTTTTTATTGTCTTCCGGTATTTGAACTGAGTACTTCGCGCTAACAAAATACAAGGCGTTACCATTGCGCTATGGGGGCAGTTAGTTTTCCAACATATTTTCTACGGCCCGTCGTTACGGATGCTTTGCATCAGTCGTGGTCACGGAGAGACTAAAGATGGAAGGTCTGTCTGATGTCAAAGTAAAAACTGCTACGCTAGCGCCATCTGTTGTCGTATTGGGTATTTGACAAATGAGGTTATTAGTTTATATTTCGTAGGTAGGCTTTAACGGTCAACTCTTTCACAATTACATGTTTTTCAATAAACTTCGATCGAAATCGCGTGCAAAATGGCTACCCGCTCTTAAACACATTTATTTCGTTAGCACTAAACCCTAGCCCGTTTTGCACGGCTCAATCGACCACCGGCTCGGCTCTTCTTTACGACCAGGAGTTATGCTTTTTATGATCGATGCTCTGTATTTACGACCAAATGACCATAATTAGAGATCACAGAACTCCGCTTTATGGTCATGCCGTATTGACCACTTTCACACTAAATTTGATTGTTATAACAACACCGGAGCCACTAATGCTCTCGGAATATAAATTTTAATAGGTTGTAATTGCGATTTCTTGTTTTGTAACTGTTCGCTATACATAATTATATATGTGCTGTCGGCCTATTTTATTTAAATGTGTACTACTCACGTAAACTACAGACAGTATACAATTGTCGGTCCAACGTGAACGTCCAACGAAAAATTGTTTTTCTTAAACTCGGTTTTACTTATTTTATACACATGTATATATGTGTAAAGAATAAGTATATAAGTATGAGTAGAAGAAAATATATGTCATGATTATAAAAAAAGGTTAATAGGATCAATAAAACTAATTAATTTACAAATTTTTCTCGTCTTTACATTACGGGGAAATTATAAGGTTATATTACGATATAAAGATGTCTATGTAGCGCAAAGGAGTCGACCTTTGGTCTACAGACCAGAAGTATAGAATTCCAGACCAACTTATCTTAACCTGCGTGCCTTTTATTTCTGGCACATTGGTATTTAACAGGCCTTATAAAACGAAATAACAGTAAAAATATATCTTTCTTCTTATTGCAAATAACGTGAGTAGAAAGACTAGCTGACACTTATTGTGTATTCAGTATATTTGTATCGATAATTATCTATACTAATATATAAAGTTGAACAGTTTGTTTGAACCCGCTAATCTCGGGAACTACCGGTTCGAATTTAAAAATCCATTTGTGTTGGTTAGAGCATTTATGGAGGAAGACTATAGGTTATAAGATCGCACAGTGACTAATAGGAGCGAAGAAAAAGCGGGAGATGTGGTAAAACGGGGGAAATTTTCATCTCTGCGGGTTTCCGTTCATCACCCACCAAAAAAATATGTTGTGAAG